GAACTACGTTGACTCTGACTTTCTCTCTCGAGAATACGTAGGCATAGAGTGCGACGCTCTATCGAGTCAATTCCCTTCCGTTTAGATTTAGCAGCCGTAGATAAGATTGTTTTGCATCCAGTAGACAACCCAAGCAAGCGTGGATCCCGTCGAGTACGACGGACGTGAGGGGTGCTAATACCTTCCCCTTGCGTAACCGACTCCCGAACCCAGGCTATGGTTGCGATGACCATACCTTTTCCCCGTTTTTTGCGAGGTTTACTTCGAGCGTTTCCTTTCCCGCTCTGAGGGATAAATAACGCACGGTGGCGACTCTTCTGTCAGCCGGCGCCGATTTTCGCAGTAGCGACAAGGAGTTTCAAAACTCCACGTAAGCATGTCCTTAAGATACGCTTATTCTCCATTGAAACCTTGACCACAGTCAAGAAGTTTCTAACCTCCCTTTCGAGGGGAACTACGATTACTCTGATTCCATTCCCTATCTAGGATACGTAGGCACAAGATGCGAATCTTGCCGAGTAAACTTAGGACTAACCCTTAGGTCTTTTAGGTCACTTTATCCCTTAGCTCAGTATATATTTCAAAACAGATAATAAAATAAAAAAGCATACAATAAACAAAAGGTTCCTATAGAGTACTACAGAAGTTTAGGATGTTAGTATCTTCCCTAAACTTAACCAACCCCTTACCTAGGTCTCTCCCCGCATTGTGTTTACAATGCAAAAATAGGTTTTCCCTCTTTTGACCTTTTCCTTTGGATAAATCAAAGAGCGGTTGTGAATCAAGAATTGTGATTCAAACTAATTAATAGTTTGTTATCCTATTTCCACCGCAACACATAGCAATACTATCACCTGATATAACATGTCCATGAAAACTCACCTCTTGCAACCAGAACTCACACTTTAACAACTTGGCATATAACTTCATCTCTTTCAACACTTGCAACATAATTCACAAATGTTCAACATGTTCTTTTTATAATTTAGAATAGATTAAGATATCATCAATAAAAACCAATATAAAATGATCTAGATAAGTATGGAATATACAATTCATATATTCTATAAACACTCCAGGTGCATTAGAAACTCCGAACGACATCACCAAATATTCGTAGTGTCCATACCGAGTTCTGAAAGTCGTCTTCTGAATATCTTCATCTTTAATCCGAATCTGGTGGTCACCCGACCTCAAGTCAATTTTACTGAAAACACACGCACCCACCAATTGGTCCATCAAGTCATCTATTCTTGGAAGTGGATACTTGTTCTTGATCGTTACTTTATTCAACTGTCTGTAATCCATACACAACCTCATACTCCCATCCTTCTTCTTTACTAACAACACTGGAGCTCCCTAAGACGACACACTTGGTCTTACAAATTTCTTCTCCAGTAGTTCCTCTGATTGTTTCTTCAGCTCTGCTAACTCTGATGCTGACATCCTGTATGGTGCCATAGGAACAGGTCTGGTACCAGAGACAAGATTAATAGAAAACTCCACCACTCTCTCTAGAGGCACATCTTAAATATCATCCGAGAACGCATATGGAAAATCATGGACTACCTGCAACTCATCAATCACAGTCTTATTTCCAACAGACAAGGACCCAAACAAAGCAAGCACTTGAGTTGCCTCTTGCAAAATCTCTTTCAACTGTCTAGCAGATAAGAAACCATCTTCTTCCTCGTCATTAGGAGTAAGAAATCATACAATTTTTCATAACAGTTAACATAAACATGATTGAATTCTAACCAGTTTATTCCCAAGTTCACATCACGACCCATCAACGACAAGCAAATAAGATCAACACCAAAATCTCTATCATAGATTGACAGAGGACAGTTTAAACAAACCAAAGAAGTAGTCACCGACCCCTTAGCAGGAGTATCGAAAACCATCTCTCCTTTCATGGAAGACACTACAAGGCCTAACCTTTTCACATGATCAGCAACAATAAAAGAATGACTAACACCGGTATCAATAATAGCAATCAAATGTGTATTATTAATGTAACATATACCTCTGATTAACCTGTCATCACTTGAAATCTGATTCCCCGACAGAGCAAATACATTCCCCTTGGTTGAAGCTTGCTTCAACTTTTGGCAATGAGTACTGATATGTCCTGGTTCACTATAATTATAGCAAGTCACTACACTGTCTTTACAATCAACAACCAGATGTCCTACCTTCCCACACCAGAAACAGTTCTTCTCGTCACTCTTGCATTCACTGACACGATGACCCAACTCACCATAACTAAAACACTTAAGAGGAGCAGGAGCACCTCTCCCACTTGGCCTCTTACCATCAACAATCATCTATTTACCTTTCTCAACTGTAGCACTATAAGGCTTCCCATGGTTCAAATTCCGCTTCCATCTTTTCCCGCTCGAAATCTAATAATGCGCTGACTGATAGAACTTTGTAAGTTCCACAAATTTGGAAGCATATTCAGTCATTGACATATTACCCTGCTGCAGCTCCAGAAACTCAATCTCATTTTTCCCGTGAACATCTTCAGGAAAATACTTCCTCAGAAACTCCCTCCGAAATATAGGCCAAGTGACAACCTCACCTTCCGTCTCCAACACTTGACGAGTATTGATCCACCTGTAATAAACCTTCTCAGCCAACATATGAGTATCAAATTGTACCTTATGCGCTTCGAAGCAATCCATGATGCGGAAGATCCTCTTAATCTCTTTGAGCCAAGCCTGCGCTCCATTAGGATCATACATATCCTTAAAAGTAGGCAGATTATTCCTCTGAACCTTCCCCAGATGACAAAACTTATCGTTTCCACCAGCATTAGGCTGATTCTGCACAGCCTGAGCAACAACATGCAAAGCAGCAACAATCACATCATCGTTCCTTCAAGCCATTTTGTGTTTTACACCAATTACAACAACAATGGTTAGAAGACAACACCAACAGTATTGAACTATCATACCACACCGACTCAACAACTTGGTCAGACAACCCGACCTGCTCTGATACCACTATGTAACACCCTAATTACCCCCACGATAATTATAATAAAAATTAGATTGAATTAGAACAACATTTAATTAGGATGCTACAATCAACATACACCTGCTCATACATTCAGATATGTAACACATGCTACCTTTTCAAAATTAATAATAATAATAATAATAATAATAATAATAATAATAATAACAACAACATTAATCAGCTAGTCCAACATCATACTTTTATTATTAGCAGCGAAACATCAACATAATTATTCAAGCTTCAACATACTAATGAAATAACAAAATTAAATAAATTCTCAAATCTAGAAGCTACACATTATAGCCTCCCTAAAACATAGCATAAAAGAAACAATGTTCTATTCTCCCGTAGTGTTACACATCGGAGCAGATGCCGACTCGACATAGTATAAAAGAAACAACATTCTATCCCTCTGATACCACTATGTAACACCTTAACTACCCCCGCGATAATTATAATAAAAATTAGAGTGAATTAAAACAACATTCAATTAGGATGCTACAATTCAACATCATCATAGGAATTAGGTACTCGCACCCAATCCATCACCATAGGATTGAAGCTCACAAACCCGGACCACCGTCCAACACCATGATGAATGATATATAATAGACATGCAACAACAACAACAAGTATATTGACATTCAGCTTAATCAATATACTCTTCCACAATGGCCACCAACACACCAGACGTATGCTATAATAGTCCAACAAAAACAACTGAATAATATATCAGCAACAACAATGCATTCAAGCACATTTCACACCACAACATAAATACCATACACTGTTTATCACCATCACACAGAATTTAAATGAAATTTAAGTACTAAAATTATTTTAAAAATAAATTTCGTCGTGTCAGCTTTTCAACACTTCAAACGTCACCCAAATCGGATACTTGAAACTCAAGATATGGTTTTTCAAAGTTTTTCACATTTTCAACCTAGTGTAACCGGTTATACCAAATGCAGTAACCGATTACACCCCTGTAAGCACGCCGCTGTTAGCCACTGTTCTCATAGTGTAACTGGTTACACCATTTCAGGTAACCGGTTACACCCCCTTAATTTTTACTAGAAAACACGTTTTTAAAAGTGTAACCGGTTAAACCATTCCTAGTAACTGGTTACACCTAAAGTAGAAACACTTTTCTGCAACATATCAATTTAAAAATTGATTTTTAACCCATCCCAAGATCTCACTTCACATACACCTTTTTCACACGAAAAATCACTTTTTGAAAATTCCTAAAACCCCAGATTTTTGTAAAAATTTACATATTTGAGTTTTTGACTCTGACTAGTAACAATTTCAACAACACAACATCCACAACCATGCAATTCCACCAATTACACAATTCTACTAACATTAACACACAATTCACCAATAATTAACAACACAACAACATCATGCAAGTTCATAATTCATCAATCAATTGATCATTCTAATACACACACAATGCATAATTTCTCATCAGAGAATCATAACATATATGTAGTATTAACTTGCAAGACTCCCACTCTACTGCACTAGAGATTGCAATCCACGGTCATTTCCATTCAACCCCTCATTTTTAGTTCTAGAATAGAACATATACCAAATATACCAAATAATAGTCATATTACTTTTGATTTACTTTCATTTCTTCAATTTTCTTTCCTTTTTTTTTTCCCCTCCTAATCAGTTCATAACATTAACATTGGTTTAGATACGTGATTGAGTTTTGTGTGACTAATTTTCCTCCTTTCAACCGTGTATGGTGGTAAGCAATCCATTTGACCGGTTATTCACAATTTTGCACGTTTGTCCCATCTAATTTCAAAAGTAGAAATAATAATCATGATACTCAATATCAATGCTCTTATAACAATAATAATTTCTCTATTCTTTTCCCAAATTAACAACACATAGACATAGTCAATAAAAACTAAAATAGTACCTGAAAACTTAAAGGTGTATATACAAAGAAAAACCTATGCATGGTAAGCTGTATCTGCTTCCTCTAATTCTATGCCTTCTTCAGCAAGTCTTTTATCCTTATAAACATACCAATTAGCACAAAGCAAATATATAACCAAATTTAAACCACTCAACAAAGCCAAAAGCCAGTAAAAATCATAAAGCTTCCCCTGATTAAGATTATCCGCAAGCCACGGCTTATGGTGACCAGTCACTTTATGCACCAAAGTAACCAACAAAGAACTAAAGAAAAATCCCAAAGACAAAGTACTCAAAAACAATCCTGTGCTCATAGTCTTCATCCCTTTAGGACATTCCCTTAAGAAAAAATCCAGTTGTCCTATATAAGTAAAAGCTTCACCTGACCCTACAAAGAAGAACTGCGGTACCAACCAAAACACACTCATGGGAATCTCCGAATGAGGATCGTGTGTCAAGTTATGCAAACGTGCTATCCTCATTCGTTTCGATTCCGTGAGTGCTGCTGCAACCATCGCGCAAATTGAGAAGACTAAGCCAACGCCAATGCGTTGTAAAGGCGTTAGTCCATGAGGGTTGTTGAAGATTTTTCGTGTTATGGGAACGATGACGCGGTCGTAAATCGGGATTGTTAAGAGGATGCTACCTATGAAGAAAGCGGTTAAAGAAGCTGGCGGGATTTGAAATGATTTTCCTATGTGACGGTTTAATGTTGTTGCTTGTGACACTGAGAATGTGGTCATTTGTGCGTATACTGTCCAAAACATTATTGTTGTGGCCCATATTGGTAACATTCTTAATACTAGTTTTACTTCTTCAACATCTGTTAACGTTGATAGATTCCATTTTCTTACCATGTTGATATCATTACCATCTGTTTTTGGCTCCTTGATTGCTGCCTTGTCCAAGAATCTGTATTAAAAAAATATTCAATTATTTCAAGAATAATATGAACAATACAAAGTATAAAAGGTTTTGGTATCTGGTATCTGACATGATTAAAAGTATATTTTGTTTGTTTGTAGTAATAGTGTGGAATTTTTCTATGTGCTTTTGTGAAACCAGAACCATGTCCGTGACAAGGGACATGATAGTAGAAAGTGTTTGATGTAAGACAAAACTGAATGTGTGAAGTGTGAACATCCATTGGGAATAGCCTTGCCTCGTGGTTCAGATTCCTCTGAGTTTTACCACCGACGTTATATAATTTATTAATTTTAGTATTAATCAAAAAAAAAGTGAGAGTTGTGATGTATCAATAGGCATAACAATATAATTCGTAAATATTGATATCGATCCGAATGTGACTCAAAAATAATGAGAAAAATTCATTTTAATTGAGTTTGGGTTCGGTTTAGGTGTTTTTTTATTACAAATTGTTATAATTTAAAATATCAAATATGTAAATAATATTTTGATATTTAAATTTGTATTTATTATTTGAAATATTTCAAATATATTTATGAAATTGTTTTATTTTATTATTTTTAATATAATTTAATTTTTTTAAAAATAAATTTTTTTATTAATTTTTTTTAAATGTAAGATGGCATGACGGAGATACCTAAATTGGGACGAATTTGACTTTTAATCTTTCATTTTGTTGGAGTTACAACACAGAATAAAAATTGTTTATTGATTTGAATTAGGATGTGAGGGACATAAAAACCTATCAAACTTGCTCGGTTGCCATGCCTCCTTGTGGGTAGAGTACCAAAATAATGTTATAAAGAATGGCATTGGTCAAACTATAAAAATTGATTTTGTAAAGAAAATAATAGAGAAAAGTAAAATAATGGAATACACCGTAGGGAATCTGAAGTGTCACAAAAAGTTGATAAGATGATTCGGTTACATGTGTTGAATCTTTTGCACAGTCATATAAACGTGTGATGCGTGACGGTTGAGAATATGAATTTGAGAAAGTGGGAGAAATATTCGGTAGGTTGGAAATGACACATATCTAATCTTCTGTATGACTAATATACTAACAAAAGCAAACATAACAACATGTTGTATCATATCAATAATTCTATAGTTGTTGATTTTGCCACTAATGTTCCACTTTTTTCACATTTTAACCTATACATGTAATTAGATTACGCTTAAACCATAAAAAATTTAAATTAATATTTTTATTTAATATAAATTAAAATTTTAAATTTAATTTTTTTATCTCGATTCAACGATCAGAAATATTTTGAATACATTAGTACGGTGAATTATGAACGTAATGGGTCTAGTTTTGGAGTAGTTAGCTATCACAACATTGAACTTTTTTTCCTCAAAGATGTCACCTTTCCTTCAATTATTTTGTCTCTTATACATAATCATTTAAGAGAAAAGTAAGTCTCCTTAACGTGTTATTGAGTTTTATTTTATTTGACTTAGTCTCCTAGGGCCCCTTTAAAGCTAAAGATTTCCACTTAAATTTAGAAACTTACACAATTTCAAATCACTTAATTGGACGGAACATTTTGTTTGGTCATTTCTTTCTAATGTTGACTCAAGGAAACCTCATAGAAAATCTTTTATTTTCACAATTAAAGAAGGTTTGTTTTAATTTTAAAAAATACATTTTTTATTTGTATTATAAAACATGATTTTTATGAAAATATTTTTTAAGATATTAAATTTTTTTTTTAAATTGGTTTATCATACCTTAAAATTTTTTTTTGATATTTTAAAATTTTGACAATAAAAAATAATTTCAATAAAATAATAAAATACTTAAAAAAATATTTAAAAAATAATTATTCGAGTCAAATTTTTATTTGAAACATTTATTAAAAAATTCTTTAAAAAAATTATAAAAGTCATTCTAAAAAAAAAGTTAAAACAAACGGGTTATAAATATTTAAGCTTTATCAAGAAACTTATTTGTCTTGCTTTTATAATATTTTTAATTATTTATTTTTCACTTTATTATTTCTTTTTGTAATAATTAGTTAAGAGTGTTATTAACAAAACAATAATTAATTTAAAATGATATTATGAACACTTTTTTCTTCTAGAAAAATGATAGTTAAAAAGAAATGAAAAGAATATGAAATAAATTTCATGTGAATCTAATTAAATAACTTGAGTAAGTGATTCTAATTTCTTAGTAATGTGTATAACTAGTGTTAAAAAAACATTCTTTGAGTATTTAATTCCTAGACAAGGAAAAAAAAGGTTGGCCTACTTACTTGAATAGTTTTTTTTTTTTGTTGAAAACATTATTTGAATAGTTGAATACATTTAGTCACTTACAAATCCTTAAGAAGTTAATATAAATATTTTCCTCAATCTAAAATGCAAATTTAACATTAATGGCCATGGATTCAAATTTAGATTTCTAAAAAAATATAAAATGATGTATGTTATGGATTCAAAGAACATATTAAAAAAAAAACTATAAATTATCATAACAAAAAAAATAATCAGAAACAAAAAAATCCATACCGAAATTGCTTGCTATGAGGCAACATTTGTTTCTTCTTCCTCAAATCATGATCTTCAACATCATCCAAATTATACAACAACGACGAATCATACGGCAACTCCAACCTCCTCTTCCTCCACGCCGCCACAAAAACCACCGCAATCTGTGTCAAAGGACTCCCCACAAGTTTCTTAAACCGATACCTCTTTGTCCCCGACAAGAACACAAGGAGCGCCACAACAATAGCACACGCACATAAACCATATCCCCAATCTCTCCCCACATGATCTTGAATGTAAACAAGAACTGTCACCGCTGTTAACGAACCTATGCTTATGAAAAAGAAGAACCAGTTAAAAAATTTCACCATTTGTTTTTTCTCTCCTTCGTTTGAATCGTCGAACTGGTCTGAACCGAAGCCGGAAACACTTGATTTCAAACCGCCGATTCCAAGCGCTGTCACGTAGAGAGCTGTGTATAGAACTGTTAGTTGTAGGTTGTTTGCTGGTTCGCAAGAATTGCGCATGTTTTGTGTGCATTTTGGTGGACGGAGGCTTGGAATTATGGTTGATATTGTCAAGATTGTAACACCCTGATATGTGTAACAGAACATAATAGATAGAATTTTAAAAGTTAGTTTTTATATTTAAAAAAAAATTAATAGTATATTGTTTAAGAAAGAATGTCTTACAATTGCTTCAACAGTTGCAAAGATGGCTATGGTGAGGTATCTGTCAAAAAAGATAATGAAAAAAATTAGTGACTAATATAATAAAAAAAACACATAATCTTTAGTTTAAGGTTATATAATAAATAAATATACTGATTAACTTTTTCTAATAATGGATGAAGACAAACCTTCCGATAAAAGTGTCTGCTACAAAACCACCTAACAAACAGAGCATAAAAGAGGTTCCCATGAAATTGGTCACTGTATTGGCAGAGGAAGCATTTCCTAAGTGCATGGTACCAGTCAAATATGTCACCAAATTTACAGCTATACCCATTGTTGTTAACCTCTCACATGCTTCTGAACCTGAGATTTTATATATCACACACCACAAAATCAGTAAACATTATGTTATAGCACATACATGATTACATTTAATTTTTATATATTTTTAAGTTATTATTAATGTTAACATGTATGTACCAGTGTTGTGTCTGATAGTTGAGGAAAAAAATACCTAAGATCATTGCAGATGATGTCCAACCACCAGTTTTGGACCTATCTGCAGGATGACCTTTGGAATCCCAGGCATCTTGAATGGTTTGCCCCTGAGTTTGTGGAAGAGTACTCATTTGGATATGAGTGGTGAAGTGAAAATGGTACCAATAGGAGAAAGTAAGGAGGTATGTATGGGCACAAAGGAGCTAAAGGTCTTGTGGCTTTTTATATACAACTTTGAAAGACAAAATTGATGACTAGGATTTTGAAATGTTAACCATACAGCCTATGCCGAACCAATCATTCACTTAAATATAAATTGTATGAAAGTTTGGAACCATATGACAATTATATGAGGTAGAATAATAGAAATAATTAAATATGACAATAATTTCATTTCTAATTGTTATCTAGTCTTGGCTCAAATATTGTTGTCTACTCTTGGAATCAGCAAATTTGTGTTCATTCTTATTAGGAATCTATACTATTCTTATCTAAACCTAGTATATTTCAAGATTAGAAGATTAGAAGGTCGTAGGGTTTCATCAGAAAATTGTTGGGTTTCATATCCAACTTTATTCGGATAAAAAAATTACTTAAACGAAAAGAATTAAAATGTTGTTTAATGTGATTTACTCAAATTTGTATCATTTGACTCGTTCTGACTCGTTCTACACAAATGTTTATTGGAAGTAATTAAATGTGATTACTTTTAATTTGTACGGTTTTTTAATGGTGATTAAAAATCAGACTTGGTTGTCCACATCTTGGGCTATAATATCCTCAATCAACTATCAATGTGTATTATATCATATCTCAATTAGATATCGCTTTGCGCTAGATTTGGGATGACACAACCAACCTCATCATCTATTTCAATCTGACATTGTTCTTCTAGGTAGATCATTCTCAGGGCAAGTTCCATTGGGTCCGTGCTGGATCTTATCTATTTAGGAACCCGGCCCAAGATGTCAAACATGTACACAACTCATTAAACATGAGTCGTGTAAGGATGAAATGTTTTTCTAGGGCATGCCAAGAAATCAGACATGTGCACAACCTCTCAAGTATGAGTCATCTAAAGGAAAATGATTTCCTAAGGCATAACAAGAAACTAGACATATACACAACCTCTTGAGCATGAGCCATGTAAGGGCAAAATGATTTCTTAAGACATACTATGAAATTAAAAATGTATACAGTCCCTCAAGCATGAGTCGTGTAAGGGTGAGATGTTTTTTCGATACTATTCAAAAATTATATGACGTTCCTTAACAAATGCTTTTTTTCTGGCAAGCTTGCTCTATTTTTCGATTAGCGGTGGTTTTAGATCTTTTGGACAATGTTAGTTGGTCGCTTGACTATTCCATTTCACCTAGTTGTGGTGATGGTCAAACCTCTAGGAAACAGGAGTCACTCATGGACTATTCTCTTGCTTCCTACATCCTTAATAAGGCAGCTTTAAATGCAATCGTCATTTTGTTTGCCACTCAAATCATATAAATAGGTTTTACCATTTCTCATTCTTCTTATCTCTTCACTTTAGCACTTATATTTTCTACATGTAACTTTGCATCATTCTCCCCTTTCAAACCTGAATCTTCAACAAAGCGCCATGACCCCCATGTAACCCCTTATTCCTTTATATGTTTTTCTTTCTTCTTATATGGTGTTTATTCCAAAGTGTGACTTATCTGGGTGGGTTATAGAGCCTCAAAATGATGTTGAGATGTGATTTGTGGAATAGATGCATGCAATGCTCAAAACAGACTATGGAGAAATACATATGCAATTCACTAAAATAGGGCTCTTTGATAGTTACGAGAGTGATAATTCGAGGAACGAGTCGCCTAATGTTAGTGACACTAACTTAATGTCCTTTTCATCATGTCCAACTAAATATACCATGACGCTCAAAATCTTTAATCAATGCTTATTTTGTGAAGAGACCATGAATATTGATTTGATCATTCTTTAAAATGATTGGATTCAAGCCTTTCGGTTAGTTCTAGAGCTATCCAACACCAATAATGAGGCCAATGTCATATTGAAATTGTGTTTGTTTGGTAGAAAGATCTATATACACTGGCTAGGGTGTGAAGGTCAAATATTTTAGTTGATATACAGGGTGATCTAGAACTTTGGAGTATGTATCCCTTTACCATCCTGTTATTCGAGATTCTGAAGATTATTAATATTTCCCCTCCCAACTACATTTGAACAACTAGGTGTTTAACTAAGGTTTTGAGATCCTATTTTGGGGTCTTAATATTACTCTTTAGGAGTACATATTTTTTCTTTCTAACGTTTAAAAATTTCTTGAGCTTGCAATTGGAGGCTTAAAACGTTTGTTTGTATTAACATTAGAATGAACTAAAAAAATGTCCATTTGTAAAAAAGTTGTTGATCGCTCGGGGGAGAGAAATAAATTCTGGTGTGTTGAACTATTTTTAGGAGAATGACGAATGTTCGGTGAGAATGAGACGTGAACCTCGAGACCAACAATTCGGGGTTTCATTGGAATGTTAGACTCCAACGATCCTTTTTCATTCAATGTATTTATGAAATTTATTTGATGGACAACGGACATTCAATATGAACGAGATGTGTGCCTCGACATCCATTCTTCAAGGGTTCCACTAGAATGCTAGATTCCAACAGTTCTTTTTTGTATGAGTTTGTGTTAAGTGATTTAGAAACGAAAGAAATAATAAATAGCTAGCCCAATATGTGTGCATCAGGAATGATCATTCAAGGATTCAAGAAATGTGAGACTCCAAGGGTCCTCTTCTTTTGCTTTTGTTAAGAAAATGATTTTCAACACTTTGAAAAAGCGAAAAAGAAAACTTGATGTTGATCGAGGGTTTTATCGCAGTAGTGGAAAATGATTTGTGAAATGGCTTGAAATTATTTTGAGGTACTTATTAAAGAATAGGGCTTAGTGTTGAACAAGTTGATTTTTTTTTCAAATGATTGATTTTATTTGTAAAGGTTAATGGGTTTTAAACGATTGATTTTGGTTTGGAAAGATTTTGGTGTGATTTTGAAAATATACTTGATGTTGATCAAGCACTTTCGACTTTAGTATTTTTGAAAGGTTAATTTTAAGGACCATTTTATCTTTTTGGATTAACAATTATGTATCAACTAAAAATTCAATAAAAAAACTAAAAAATAAAATAATAAAAAAAGATAAAAGAAATAATAAAAGGGATGAGGATATACTATCAATAGAAGGGTATGAATAAATGGCTTAAAAGAACTAATAAAAATTTAGGGATGCTTAATAGATACACAATGTTGAAATTCTGGCTAGCAGATCACAGATGTCCTAAGAGATGTCGAGATATTGATCTTTGCATAAAACTGAACAAGGACAGAAACATTTTGTTCTCTTAAAAAACAAGAACACTCTAAACCTTCAAAGTCAAAACAGTGTCATGACAAATGTTTCAACATCTGCCAAAACATGTACTTCAGAGTATAGATACAGACCGAACAAATTATAACAAAATGAAAAATAACATAAGATATGATGACCCAGTTCGGTGAGCAACAACACCTACATCTGGGGGCTACCAAGCTAGGAATGAATTCACTATTAGCAGTATTAATTTAGAGATAAACTCCCCTGTTAACAACTCCTCACTTAATCATTACCCAGTTGTTTATTGTAAATTTTGATAAACAACCGCTGGTTTATCAATTTAGGGTAAAATTGACTAACTCGTAGGATCAACCATACTAAATCCTAGAACATGTGCCAAGTATGCGAAAAGACCCTAAGTTGAACTCCACGTTCGACTATGAAATTTTTTGGGAAGTTTAAAAGAAAGCAAGTAATGCGTCGAAGATTAAAAGGCAAGAATGTAAAAGTGCAGTAATGTAAAAGCTTTTAAAATGAAATGGCTTTGAACATAAAGGCAATAATGTAAATATGAAAAAGACTATAATCGGAACTCCGCATTCGACTATGGAAACTTTGAAAATAAAAGCTTTTAAAAGTAAATGTTGTAAAGTAAAGGGCGAGAGATTACAATCAAACTCCGCTTTCGACTATAACATCTTCGTAAAGTAAATGACGCTAAAGATAAATGCGCAAGAAAGTAAAGTGCTTTGAAAATAAATGTGCAAAAGACTCTACTCTGAACTCCATGTTCGACTAGAGGATCCTTGAAAGTAAAGGTGCAGAAAAGCTAAATGGCATGGAAAGTAAAGGAATTTTTTAAGTTGCGAGAAAGCTTGTAAAACAGTTTAGATGTAAAAGCTGAAGGTTAAAGGGCAACAAGTAAATGGCAATAATGAGTAAATTGCATTAAGGAAAAGGGTTGGTGTTGTATCGCGTACATTCTCGCTAACTCGTTTCTCTACACGCGGGTACTTTGAGTTGTATGGAGTTACTAGTACAGAAATGAATGAACACCCATATTACATGAAAATAACACCTATTTATAGTGCTAGAAAGTAACCACTTAGACGACGGTTGAGGCTTCGCAACGTGTTTTTTTGGCGCTTTTCTCAGTTTTCAACTTCTCCCACGTTCGCCCACTATCACTTTGAATTTAGACATTAAGAATTCCCTCCAATTTTGATAGTAATTGCCTTACGTTCTCTTCAGCATGATCTTGGTCGAGAATGTTTCCAACACTTAGTATTTTTTAGGAACTTTGTTCACCTTCCTTCGACTTGGATTTCTTCATAGTCATGTCGAGACCTTCACATATGCTAAAGTGACATTTTGACTTAAGATGATTCTGACTTTTACTAGCGTCGAAAATGAGAGCGAACAAATTTCCCCCAAGAAATGTCCTTTCGCCAGTCTTGGTAGGAAGGTCATTTTTCTAACCGTTTCGACGCGTGTTACTTTGCATGGCTTTGCCTGAACAACCCACTATTAGTTGCTAACTGTTCACTCTCTTTTCTTCCACACTGATGACATCACGCCATCATGATAAATCCTTAAAACGTCTTTTCAGTCGTATTTATCATTACTTCTGCCTTGAAAACGTATGTTTTGCAATCTAAACATAACTGCTAACATTCATCATTTCTCAAAACCAAACACGCGTCCCACTATCTAATTAACTTCAACGGTGGATTTAAACCTTTAGGATTCCTAAACGCCTATAAATAC